AAAAAAAAAATTTCCTTTGACCCCTGAAGAGCCCCTAGGATGAAGATAGAATTCCTCCCCTTCTTCCTGGCTTCATCAGAAGACAAGCATAAGCCAGTAAAGCTGATACTCAAACTTCCTATCCTCTCTTCATAGTCTACATACATGAGTTGACCCCCACTGCACAGAAGACAGGTAGTTGGCATCTACAATCTAGATTGCTTTTGTTGTTTTGAGTGTTAGGGGTTGAATCTAGGCTTCACACATGCATTCTGTCACTGAGCTGTTCCCCTAACCGTTAGAGTATTGATGAAGTTAAATTCACTTGCCCAGTATTTCCAGCCTTTCCCAGAACAGACTCATTTTCTCCTCCTTGATCTGTAAAGTTTGACATAGAATTCCAAAACTTTATTTTTGGAAATTTTGTTTTAGAAACTTACACATTTGTGATGACAGCTGAAGCTGCATATCTTAAATATCCTTGATTCTTTGTTTTGGCTAGAATATTTGCACCCCTATCCAAGGGGTGGCAGCAAAGTACACACCATACTCTTCCCATGTACTATATTTAATTAGCTTGTACTTTATGGGGGAAAATATCACAAAGGTTATAAACTAGCCTGTAGGTAGACCAGCAAAAACACAACTGATTTTGGAGGTATAATTTGGCTGACAATTTCAGAGTAACTATTTCTGTAGTGAAAACACTAGATAACCAATTTATCTACTTTTTTGTTTTGTTTTGGGGTTTTTTTGGTACCAGGGATCGAACTCGGGACCTTCCGCTTACAAGGCCTTCAGCGAAACCACTGAGCTAAATCCCCAGCCCCTTGTTTTTGTTTTTTGAGACAGGGTCTCAATATGTAGCTCAGGCTCACCTTGAACTCACTGTGTAGTCCAGGCTGGCCTCAAATTCGATCCTCCTGCCTCAGCCTCCCAAATCCTAGGATTACAGATGTGCATCACTACACCCAGCTTCTTTTTTTTTTTTTTTTTGGAAGCAGGTTCTGTGTTGTTCGGGCTGGCCTTGAACTCACAGTGATCCTTCTGCCTCAACCTCCCAAGTGTTGGGATTACACGCGTATGCCACCTGTGCTTGGTTCCCATTTATCTACTTGAAAAGATGTATCTGCTCAATCTAGAGGACTTGTAGAATTTGCCACTAGGGGAAACCATTCAGGGTGGAATCTTGTGTAAATGAAGTCCTGTTCTAATGTAAATCCAGGGGAAAAACAACTGCAGTGGTACACATGAATGAAGTTAATTTTACTATAAAAATACCCAGCCAGGCTACAGTTGTATACCCCTATAATCCCAGCTTCTCAGGAGGCTGAGGCGGTAGTGTCACTGGCTCCAGGCCATCCTGGGCTACATCAAGACCCTGTCAAAAAAAAGTCTCTCCTAAGAACTAATTTCAGGCATATTCAGATTTTAAACAACTGCAGTTACAGTGTTTCTTTTTGTTGTTCCTCTCTCTCCCTCAGTGCTTTTCCCTTTGTAGTTCCTTGGCATATGAGCCCATTTCACTGGATAGTCCTAGCTTTCTAATTTTTTCATGCCAGCTCTCACTGAACTCCATATGTGAAATTCTGTTAAGCCAGGCATTTCTTTCGCTCTTTTTGAGACAGGATCTCAACCATGCAATCCTTCTGGCTTGTTCTCCCAAGTAGCTGGAGTTACAGGCATGAGTGACCATGCCCAGCTATGATACCATGTTTCTTTCCCTTTTTTCGTACCGGGATCGAACTCAGGACCTTGTGCTTGCCAGGCAGGCAGTGGAACCACTGAGCTAAATCCCCGGCCCAGTACCATATTTTTTTAACATGCTTTGGTTCGTGTCAGATCAGCTTTTGACGTCAAAATGTAAATCACTTCATTATATATTGATAGCTGTTGTAGTAAAAGCTAGCTTATTTATATCTGGTCAGGACAGATTTGTGGCTTTTAATTTTCTGTGTATTGAAGGTGTGATTTTGTTCTTATAAATTATTAATTAGTTTTCATGACATACCATATTATAGTAATTAGTGAAAACAAATTAACATTTCTCAAGAAACCATGCTTTGGTTTTTCTAAAATAAATTGTAAGATTGAAGTCTTTTTTTTTTGAGACAGTCTCACTGTGTATTCCAGGCTGACGTTGAACTCATTATTTAGCTGAGGTTGGCCTTGAACTCACAGCAATCCTCCTGCCTCAGTCACCGGAGTGCTAAAATTATGGGTGTGTGCCCATAGATTTTTTATGACAGCTTTATTAATATATAAATCACCCCAAAATAAATATATATCACCCCAATATATATATGTTCAACCATAGGGTAATACTTTGTTTAAACTCGTAAGGAACTACCAGGCTGTTTTCCAAAGGATTATACTATCATAAAATGTACCTCCTTTAAAGTGTGCAATTAGCTAGGCGGGTGGTAAATACCTTTGACCCCAGCAGTTTAGGTAGCTGAGGCAAGTGAATCACAGGTTCAAGAGATCAGCATGGACAACTTAGTAACTTAGACCCTGTCTCAAAAGAATGTTCTGGGGAGGTAGATCATTGTGAAGGCCATTCATTCAGTTGCCAGGAAAGCAAGAAAAATAAAGTGTCCGGCTCCTTGATTTTTCAGGGCTGTGCAGTTATCGCCACTAATTTTTAAATATTTCCATCAACCCAGAATTAAACTACATACACCATTTAACAGTCACACTGTGCCCTTCCCTCTTCCTATCCCCTGGCGACCACCAATCTTTCTATCTGGATTACCTGCTCTAGATGTTTCATATCAATAGAATTATATAGTATGTGATCATTTGTGACCGGTTTTATTTGGTATAATGTAAATAAATGTATGCATCATTCTTTTTATTGCTGAATAATTCATTATATGAGTATACCACTTTTTTTTTTGGTACCAGGGATGGAACTCAGGACCTTGTGCTTGTCAGGCAGGCACAGCAGCACTGAGCTACATCCTCAGTCCCTGCATTTTGTTTATCCATTTATTTCTTACACTTATGGGTTGTTTCCACTTTTTTATTGAGTAACGAGTGCTTCATTGAACTTTCAGGCACAACTTTTTTGTTTGTCACATATATTTTCTTTTCTCTTGGGGTACATAGGTGGAATGGCTGGGTCATAGAGTAACTCTTTGTTAAAACTCTTAAGGACACGTAAGGTCCTGAGTTCGATCCCCGGTCCAAAAAAAAAGAAAAACCCTTAAGGAACTTGCAGGCTGTTTTCCAAAGGATTATACCACTTTACGTCCCCAACAGCATTGAATAACAGTTTCAGTCTATATTTTCTTTGGAGAAATGTCTGTTCAAGCCTTGATCCTTTTTTTTTGGTACTGGGGATTGAACTTGGGTCCTCGTGCTTGCGCAACAGGCGGCAAAACCACTGAGCTAAATCCCCGGCCCCTTGATCCCATTTTTAATTTATCTGTTAAGTTATAAAAGTTCTTTATATATTCTAGTTATTCTTCACATGAACCTTATCAGATGTATGACTTGGAAATGTTTTCTTCCATTTTGTGGGTTGTCTTTTCACTTTCTTTTTTGGGGGGTAGTTGTGCTGGGGATTAAACCCAGGGCTTTGCACATATTAATCATCTACCCTGAGCCACATCCCCAGCTCATTGATATATATACTAATGTATGTGTTTCAGGTAAAACTAGAATACTAAAATATTAAAATGAGGTGTTTCTTAATGGTAGTGATGATGAGTATCTTAGGAGAATGCAAGTGAAAAAGGTATGTTCCTGGACTCTATTATTGAGACTAGAAATCATGGGGATCTGTCAGGGCATTAGTGGTATTCTCCATACTTCAGAGTTTGGTCTGTCTTTGTTCTAGAAACTTGAACTTGATTGGGCACCCAGAGTTGATCAGGTCAGAATACATTGCTCTTTTTAATCAAATCAGTGCATTTGATATATAAAATACATTGCTGTTTAGGCCTGGGGATGTAGCCCAGTGGTAGTGTTTGTCTAGTATGGATGAAGCCCTGGTTTCAGTTCCCACTGTAAGGATGGGGGTGATACATTGCTATTTAGGGAGAATGTGCGTGCAAGAAGAGAGATTGGTTTCATAGTTGGGATGTTTGTGTGAATTCCAGTGCTGTCCTTTCCTATCATCAAAGCACTTAGGAGGTCCTCAGTTAGTGTTTATAAATATTCGTGGTAAGCCTGGAATTGAAAGAAATGGGAGAGCTGGGCATGGTGGCACATGCCTGTAATCCCAGCACTCTTGAGAGGCTGAGGCAGAAGGATCATAAGTTTGAGTCCAGCCTGGGCAACCTAGTGAGATCCTGTCTCAAAATATTTAAAAGGGATAATACTGGTATTTTTTGTTGGTTTGGTTTGGTTTGGTACTGGGGATAGAACTTGGGACTTTGAGCTTTCCGGGCAAGCACACCACCACTGAGCTACATCGCTGGCCCTGTATTTGTTTTTTTAAGACAGGTGGTTCAGGCTGGCCTTGAACTCACAGAAATCCTTGTGCCTTGGCATCCCAAGTGAATTATAAGCATATACCACCACGCCCAGCTAATATTGGTATTCTGTCTAGACTTTAGAGTGATCTGTTTTGTTGTCCTGGCATAGCATCTCCCACTGAAGAGCCTCCAGATTCCAAGTCTCTGGCATAGGTAGGCTTCACCCACTGCCAAATTCCAACCTATTGGCCCTCCTTATCACAGCTTTTCCTTTCATCCAAAAAATTGAGCACCTGCTATATTCTGAACACTTCCTAGCTCTTGGGTATATGTGGGTGAAACTACATCCTGGTCAAGTTGAGAGTGACTTGTTTCTGTTATTTCAAGGGCATCTCAACCTTGATTCATTTTACTAAGGATAAACATTAATTTAAACTCTATTCTTTTTTTTTTTTTTTTTTTTTGGTACTGGGGATCAAACTTGGGTCCTTGCACTTGCGAGGCAGGCGACAGAACCACTGAGCTAAATCCCCGGCCCCTTAAACTCTATTCTCAGGTGATATTTGAGCCACTAAGAAGTTATCCTTTCTTCCACAGCAATGGCACCAGCATGATATCATTGATCATTCCTCCCAAAGACCAGATTTCACGAGTAGCAAAAATGTTAGCAGATGAGTTTGGAACTGCAT